TGCGTTCGCCCGGCCACCTATATTTATACATTGATCACTGAGGCCTCAAACGTAAAGTACGCGAACGGCGCTGATTTAACAACGAGAGAAATAGCGAAGGTTCGAGTAATATGATGTCAACAATATTAGTAAAGTCTCGACAACAATGTAATTGCAAACTCAACGTACGACTCATACCGAGTTAAACAACCAAACCAGTCACAACTATCGCCAACAAAACGATTAATTTTTAACTCTCTTGTTATGAAAAACTAAACAATCATTAAATACTAACTCACAAAATAAATTCAATAACAATGCCTACACTAAACAGTCTTGTATATCCAACAATGTGAATAACTTGATCATGTATTCATACTTTTGTTATCTTCCTAGATGAGTGTATAAGCTTTATATTCCTAAATGTTTGTACAAAGCAAGAAACTACACATCGACTTGTTAATTAATACGAAATAGATGGAAAAACAACATAATACATGTTATGTAGTGGAAGTATAGATGTAAGCCATAGCACTAAAATATTTTGTCATAGGCTTAAATTCTAAAAAGTAACTGTTTGAGCTTTTCTTCAATTGTTTTCTAGTGAATGTTGAAATGAAGCTTTAAAATTGTAGAAATGAAGTGTTAACCCATTATTCAGTGTTTGAATTAAACCCAGGTAATAATGCCATAAAACATGAATTTAAAAGTAAATGGCGTATTGATAATAGTAGGTTAATTGGCAATATGTGTTCGATGTGTCTTTATAGGCAGGTATTTAGAGTTCAGGATCCCGTATAGTCATTAGTTCTAATTCCTCCATCATTTCTTGTGCACTATTAGTCACCACCAGAATTTCCATTGTTACAAACTCCTCCAAAATACGATGAGTTTCAAACTTACACAACAATCTATTAGTTTAACTTTATACTGTGTCTAAGCTTATGGGATGATATACACATGGCATGTGTATTAGTTTAACTTGATACTATTTATAAGCATTATGTTTATGGATCAATAACAGATACAATGATTCATATGCACAACAAAAGTACGAGTGTATTCAATTTCTTATTTATTAGTCTAAGACTAAGTGATGGAGTTCTTACCATTGACTTTTTAAACATGTTTTTCTAAACACTTTAGGCATCAAATTGTTTGTAGGTCTATGACTTTATTCGTTGTAGCCTCCATAAGAATATATGATTAACATACAAAAATCCAAAGATTCTGCAGTCATTCCCAAAACCTAATACTGTGGTCCCTTTTGTATTTTACATAGGAAAAGGGTGGTTTCTTTATAATCAGCCCTTTACACTCAGTATTTCACTAGGCAAAATCTAAACTTAAAGTATTGCAGTATACAGATACCATTGGTAATGACAAGTATAAAAACAAGTTGATAAGTTGAGGCACTGACAATATGTTGAATATTTTCTCTCTTCTCTTTGTCATTTATACAGGTATAGGCCAGAGTATTTCATTAGAGTAGGCATCATTTTGCTTTTCGTTAAGGTATTGGCTATATTATGTGTCCCACAGTGGCTCAGCAGTAACTTATAACACTAAAATCAGGTTTTCATACTCGAAGTTAGTACAGCACAGATAGCCCATTGTTTAGCATTGTGTTTAACAACAAACAGATGCTATGGTATATATATTTGTGTGTGTCTTTATACAGCAATATTGGAACATAAGTCACTTTATGCATGATTAATTAATGATATGCTTTCGCGAATTGAACCATTACTGTATTCATCCCTACATGTGCCCCTAAGCCTGTCAGCTGATGCTACTGATACTACAACAGTTGTCGTTAATAAATAATATGAGGAAATTTCAAAGGCGTTCTCTCAGTAATTCTTACAGTTAAATAGTCATAAACCTGAGCTGAACATTTTCCATATTTCTAGTAGTTTGAAAGTAGGAAATTGATTAATTGATATTTTTCACCATAAAATACATATAGGTTGAACAGGTGTTTTTATGTTGTCAAGAGTTCATTTGGGAAAGAAGCATAGCTTGATATCACTGAATGCATCAAGAAGAAAACTCTTGAAGTCACTTTGAACAATTATTTAAGCAAACACATTGTTGTGAATGTTTCGTAATTATTCTTTTATATTTAACTTAATAATATATCCTTACCTTATACTCTAAAACAGCAGATGGCGCTTGAATTGTTAGCGGAACGCGTGAATGTTATTTGACGCTATAACTAAGGGTGAAGATAATGCTGACTCCAACAATGATCACGATCCCTATTCGTTAATGCAAGTTTTTTGATACAGTTAGACGTTGAAAAAATTGCCAATAACGCTAAATATGCTTTATTCTCAAGGCCTTTAGATCAAGGATATTTTGTCCCTACTGTATATTAATAAACATTCTTAATGGTATTGCGTTGTTTTGCAATTATGTCTGACTGATACTAGGGACTAGGGCCTCTTATTCTGTTGTATCAACAGACGTGAAGTCTGATTATCAATATTGATTTTGTATTTTAAGCAACTGATCTGGTTTTCTTTCCTTTAGATAAAGTCATTATTATCATCTGCTTTTTAATTAAAGTTATACACGTCTATTCTTTGTTTCCTCTTTTAATACACCCTGTTGTCTAGGGTCTGAATTTAATACACAAAAGCAAAATTGTTTTGGCTGTTGTTTTACAGAACAGTAGGAGTCATTATGCCAATCTGTAACCAGAAATGAGAAGCCCTTTCCTTCTAATAACACCAAAAATCAGGAGAAACTAAACATGAAAACCTCATTAGATAGATGATATTTTATTTCTTATTAAAAATTGATTTCAAGTCAGTATGCAAGAAACTACCAGATTAATTCATTATAATGAAACAGTTTTGTCACAGCCAGTGTGTGTGTACTTCCATGTTCTGTTTGAGCAAATGCAGTCTGCTTTCTGGACACTAAACAGTGTATTTCTTACATTAGTTCCAACATTGCAATAGATGGTGAGAACAAACTGTATTTACTGGTAAACCACAGAACACCATTTGTGCTTTCAGACGTATTATGACTCTATCATCAAGTACTTATGCAGTCCTCTATTCGTTGTTCTAATGTTTACACTAGATCCATCCCTAAGGTACCAGGATTGAAGACGACCTTCAACCTATATGGGTCATTTCCTACATCGTCAGGAGCATACTGTTCCACTCGTGTTTAGATAATCAACATTCACCAGAATAAAGTCTATATGGATTGTCCTTGGTGGTGACTTTACTTAAAGTGTCTGATACACTATAAGGTCAATCAGGGCTGTTAACTCTGATATCAACCACAAATTTGGCCTCACATTTTATGTATTTGTTAGTAGTTACCAGTCACTATCTAGCCAACTCTATATGAGTAAACTTATCAGAAATGAACCATTTTGATGCAACCTAATTACTGCACCTAAGATCGATGGCCAAACTCATTCTAGGCTCTATCAGTTTCTGGGTCCATAATGGTGGCACCCATAGGTTGCCCTTGACCCTATTCATTTACTAAACAATCAGCTAGAACTGCAGATTCTTCAGTATTCTCACCTAGGGCACCATTTAGGGAGAGGCATTTGTGGTATTTGCTGAGAGAGCATCGGTATTCCTATCCACTCGTTGATATGCAGTGCAGCTTTGTTGACGTGCTAGGATGTGTCTGTGGTCGGGTATCTTTTATGGAATACTTGTTGTCGATGTAATTTGATGATATAAATTATGTCTCAATCACTTTATATTTCGCCAAGCAATGTTTTCCTACAACTGAGGACGAACTATTCTAGCTATATTGATCAAGTTAACACTCACTGTAGATACGTTGTTATTATATTCCAAATGTTGATTAAAATATAACTATAATATCTGTGGTGTAATTTAGTTTGTAAATAGTTATTAATTTTTATGAGTACTAAACATAGCATATTTTTTTATATTAACTTATTGTTTTGTATGCAAACTCTTCTAAATAAGAATTTGTTTACGGTGATCTACTTTGTCTAAAATCGGCCTGTCAGCCTGTCTCCATGTGGCCCAGCGATAAGTCAATGGGCCTATAACGCTAAAAATCTTATTTCGATACCTGGGATGGGAAGATAGCCCATTGAGAAGTTTTGTGCTTTACTCAACCTTTTCGATACCAGGGGCCAGCTCGCTGCCTTCATTAACTTTTGTAGACTACTAAAGTACAAGTACAATTAAAAAACTATTACGTTTTATATATGAATATTCTGTAGGTTTTTGTTTGTTTATTTGTTTAAGTGAAATCTCACTGACCAGCAAGGTGTTTCACACGTGACAGGCTAGGCGTCGAAAAACACTGGTTTATAGCAAACTCATCCTAACTGAAAATAGTAGATCCATGTCTGCTTTGTTTAGCTTTGTGCTTAAACACAAACAAACAAACAAATAAAAAACCTGGTACTGTTTTATACAAAGCACCACTAATTCAAATTATTTAGATTATGTATTGTCATCAATTCTTCGATCTTTATCGCAAAATCTCAAAAGTAGCTGTCAAGGCTGGAGAACAAATACAATTCCAAATGTATAGCAATTGTGTTTTTGATTATTTGAAGACTGCATCTACGTGATGATGAGACTAAATTTTTTATAAACTTGGATTTACCTGTGTTATATGTACATATATCAAACGATAGGTAATTTGTGTGATATCACACTATAATTTACAATTTTTTTAAGTGTGAAAGTATAGCTTTTGTGTAAGACTTATACTGTAATTATTTATATTTCTATCCCCCAGTGGCACAGCAGTTGTCTGAAGGCTTATAACGCTAAAAACGTGGTTTCGATACCCGTGGTGGGCACATCACAGATAGCCCATTGTGTAGCTTTGTGCCTAACCCCAAACAAACAAAAAACTGTATTTTGTGCGTGAGTGTACCAGGTTGACAAAGTATCAACACGAAATAACCAATCAGAACAGCAAACGAATATGTTTAAACCAATCATAGCTCAGGAAATTAAGCGTGGGAAAACTTAAATTCAGCAAGAAATGGCACCCTCACGAAACAGAGGAAGATCAGTTATCTTGGAAAATAAAAACTTTTCCAAACGATCGAATTGTTTTCGAAGAACTATCGATAATCTAGGTAATCAGTCATTATATCTTTAGAGAACCGAGAAGACGTTTATGGTAAAATATGTTTACATTTTTAGTTCACGCAGCAGTAAATAATTGTGAATAGCGTAAGTTTAAAATTTCTGTTACTCAGTAACTTACTGTTACTTGCAAGTTGCTACTACTACTAGTACTAGTAACACTAACAGTACAAATACAAAATTATAGTGCCACTAAGACTAACAACCTCAAAAAGATGAAATTTAAATTATTTATCACTATTGTTAAAGTTTGGTAAGGTAGCCATAACTCATTAACTGCCAAAATAACCTGTTTCAATCCTACTTCTAATTCTATTAACTTGTTGAAAAAGTTGTTCCATTTCCGTTTACTAGTGTCACTGTTTATAATAATTACTAAATTAGGCCTAATAATATTAATATTTACTTTTATTTTTAACGTTAGCCAGTTAGGCTTTTATGGCTTGACGGAAGTTTTATATCTCTCAAGCTTGTCACCATTTGAATTACTAATTATTAGTATTAGTCTAGCACTAATACTAGTATTAGTAATAGAATTTGGAATTTTTATTCTTCTAAATTTAGTGCAAGTTGTTTTGTAGGTTCGAATCTTCGATTAGTATTGTAGTATTTCATTTTATGCAGTAGCAATAGCATGTATAACATTTGCACAATTTGCCCAAATCTCCCATATCCTGGCTTATTAATCTATTTTTGAAAATTATATTACTTGTTTGTCATTGATGGATACGTAGCTGGGTTAGCTTCAAATTAATGGTAAAAATCAAAGTGTTTTATATTTATAAGTTGTTTTTTGTATATTTTGTTACTTAACATGTGTAATGATATTCTGTAAATTATAATTATTACTTGTTTGTGTATGAAATACAAACTTTACAGTATCCAAACTTTTCTGCAACAGTTTTCTCAATCCTATTTTACAACAACAGACATACAAATCTCCCGGAGGAAATTATGTAAATTAAATCCAAAGGTATATTGTCAAACTGACATTTGATAGCAACTCAAGATTTAACCTGATGAATGAACCTTAACAGATTCAGTACCTACAATCTGTTTGTATAGTTAGTATCATTTATCTACATCTTTATATGTGGTTTGGATGTGTGATTATTATAATTTAATAAGCTTGCATTTTTGCTGCTGAACTTACTGGGGAAAAAAAAATGTTTTGGTGTCACAAGTGATTTGCAAATGCATCTGACTTAAACAATTACAGTATATATGGGACCCACACTGAAAATATGTTATTTGAATCTAACCATATCTCATAAGAAAAAAAAAAATCAGTCAAGGATTTGGTAAGTGACATATTAAGATCGGGTCAAAATTTCTATAACTCTTTCTTTATTAACTGTATTTGTCTGTGATGAAATAATATTTTATAGCATATCAGCCATAATATGGGCCAGTTATTCAAGATTAATTCATTGAAAACAAAGAAATATGTGTAAGAAATGGACTTATAACAGTACATTTTAATATACACTGTATATTTCTTTCACAATTATGAATTATAGTAATAGACCCAAACTTGTTGAAAGTATGTTACATGTCAATTTTTTAACACACATCTGGCTGTGTCTTTCTGTTTTTTAGTGTGATTTACAAAATATTCAGTGGAATTTGGCCAGAAAGATTGATTATCATCAGGTAAACTAAGACAAGCCTTAAGAAAAGTGGTATTTTGAACTGCTTGTAAAATTTAAAACTTTGTATTGCTTGAAAATTTAAACACTTTTGTTGAGTAACTAAGCCAGTCCTTCAAATTAACAAAAATTTGTAAACAACACTGTTGATTTACATTATAATATTGTTCGTCATAAATGTTAGTGGCCAGCATAGTGTTTATGATATATGTATACTTTAAATTTTGTATATCTAAGTGTATGTGTAATATTTTGTGCAGGCAATAGAACAATGGAAAGAAATCACCCAAAAGCCTCATCTGAAAAAAATGCTTCAACAAGGCCATTATCAGCATGGGAAAAAAGACGGATGTATTCACAACAAATGTGAGTGAACAACATAAACCTAAGACAGTGGATTTCAGTCTTTTTTTGTTGTTGTTTTCAGACAAACTTATCTTTTTTACATATCAGCAATTATTCCATAATTATACAACCTTTTCATGAATTCCTTGAAGAGAGTCCTAGGACAACAGATTGAGAACCACTAAGCTATAATACATTTTATTCATAAAACTATATTATTTTAGTTTTCATGAGCTAGAATGATAGTGTGGTGGATATTTGATTGTTATTAGTTTATAGCCGTACTGTATGCAAGGCTGATCTAATCTTTTTTTGTTCCAGTTTCTGTAGAACATTTTCATTTTGACAAATCTAGCCATATTCTCATTTAATATAAGAAAGTTAAAACAGTGCTACCTGCAAAAAAATTGGCATAAAAGTAGCTTTAGCTTATTTTCAACTGTTGGATATGTACATGATACTAAGTTCATTGTTTTTATTGTGCAGTCTTGTCAGTCTCTGAGGGCAACTAAGATGTTTTACATTAAGATGTTATACATTACATGCATTTTGCAGCTGCCGTAATAATTTTTTTTTATGAATATTTTTTGAGTTGGTAAACAAGTCAAACTAATGTTTTGTTATTATTATTAAGAACTTCTGATTAAATTAAGCTACCCACATAAATCAGAACTAACGGTAACTTAGTAAATTAGTACAATAGCTAATTTAATATACTAGTCTAACTAGGAACTTGCATTGTCATAAAACAAAAACTCATAATAGTTAGAACACTGATTTAATAGTTGAGTACACTTTTTATTATCAGTATTTTCAGCCATAATGGTAATTACATTATATCTTAATGTGACTGGTTCAAGAATGATTTTAAAATTTTGAATTTTAAGTGAATTGGTTATTTACAAAACAGGTCTGTTGTCTCTGTCAATTAATCTGTAATCTCTGTCATTTTCTAGTTTTTATAAAACTTTTAAAGGTAATTTATTTTTGCATTTTTTTAAATATGTATTGATACTATGAAATTTAAAACCTACTGAACAAGAAAAAAGTATTTTTATTATTTTAAATTATGCTTGATGTTTGTGATGCACAGAGATTCCTATTCCTCACCAAAAAATTAATACTATATAGAATCAATTTACAACTTCATCTATTCATGACTGAGAAGTCAGTGACTCTGAGAAAAGTAGTGAAATTTTGTGTTTCCAGCCTTGGAAGCATTGGGTCATTTTATAGGCAAAAACTGAAAAAATTCAGTGATTCTCATGTGATAGTGATGTTTGCACACAGGTTAATTCTGGTGCATTTAGCATGTCAATATACATATTTTATGGTCTTACCAATTTCTATTGCATTGATAAACTAGTCCCTATGTCAGTAGTCATAGAAGCAACATCCTGGGTATATTATGTAATTAACATATTGGTGTTGGAAAAATGTCAAAATGAAAACAATTTGATTATTTCAGTAAAGTTTGACAGTTCAAAGACAGAACACGGTTTTGGTTAGTTTTCATTCTATTTTATATCTAAACTTGTATTTAATCAACAAATTTTAATTTATTACGAAACAAACATCATGATGTGTAGTACAACTTCAGAAACTTGTATAAAGCAGAATATGGATTGCGATGTATAATATCAGTAATTTGTTAGTAACAACATTTGGGAGAAAATTTAAAAATGATTTAAATATATAATGTTTCATTGACAGTAACTAAAAATTTGGTACATTTAAGGGTTTTGGAGAATGTGGTGCTATTTGTTGTCTATGAAACTTTGTAGAAACAGTTTAATTTATGCCAGTGAATGGCTGAATACATCATGTTTACCTATTTGATTTTTAAGAGGTACCCACTTACAAACAGTATGAAGTTTTGAGAAAGCTACTTGTGGGACAAGACTAATTTCTGTACAAAATTTCATCTCTAACAGTACAACATTTAGGTTAAATGTGTCATTGTGTCTGAATCCAAGAGTCATACCATAATAAAAAATAATGAGTAGTTTTAGTAACAGTTTAACTTAGTAGCAGTTTTTATTTAATATTATGTAAAAACAAAATGAAATACTTGACACTTGAATGGTGTAATATTGTAATGCCATATCACTATCAGTGACAAACATATTTCTGTCTGTGCCAGTTACCATATATGCTATGAGTATGTATTATGCTATGGCAATGTATTATAATGCAACTTTAAACATAGTGGGTGTTTTATCAACAAGGATGAATCCATGTATGGATGTCCTCTATGTATAATTTGCTATTTGTAAGTTTCACCTGGTGATCTTATAAATGAACAAAAGTTTTGTAAATCTGAAAATATTATACAAATAAATAATTTTAATACTGTTGATCTAGATGAACTTGATATGCAAAGTTTCAAAGCACAAACAAAAATAATAATAATAATAATACAGTGTGCTCTGGATGATTTTGGTAATGTGCAGTTGTTTTATGAATATACTGCAGTTTATGGTTAGCATCTGAAAGTTTGTGCATGTATGAACACCAAAAACATTGCTTCAATAAATATTTGACATTTGAAAAGTATACATGTTAAAGGGTATTCTATTTTACAACATATAACATATTCTTTCTTTGAAAATCAAAGTGTAATAATCACATGTTAAAATATATAGTGTTGTTTATGCTGCAATAAAATTTTTGTGATTTAGATTAATATTAAGAATTGTTATCAGTATGCAATATCATAAACAAATGGATAAAAAGTGCCTTTATTGTGCATATTCTGACAATGTATCAGTAATTCTAGAACAGTATGACCAATAATATTGAAACTTTGCAAGATGACATTAAGCAAATTATGATTTAACATAGTCTTTTTTATCTTTATTAAATAATACATAAATAATGTTTTGCAGTTTTACACATTATTATAGGTATTAGTACAATGATACATTATAAGCATTGATCAAATGGTCAGAGAATAATATATTTTGGTGAGAGAAAAGTCAGGCAATTTCATTCTGTCCAAGGTGTGGGAACCATATCTACGGTTGGTAATTTACCATAGGAATTAGGTGTGTCAATTTGTAATTTTCTAATCAGTTACTCGTCATTCATGAACCAGCTAAATAGATCAGTAAAGTTTAAGAACTGTCAGTGTCATGTTGTGGAGCTAATACAGATCACAGGATTAATCAAATTTACATTTTCCTTTGTGTTGAATTTTGGTTTTTCATTTATGCCTAGCCTGCAGTTGATAAAAACCCTCTCACTCAGTACTGATGTTGGTGACATGATCGGTAAACATTTTGCTAGCTTACTGATGTGAGACAATTGATTTTCATGCTGGTACCACCATTCAAATGGATTTACAATTTTTACTGGCTGATGCATATTTTTTTATGCAATGCTTTATTGTCCTGCACTTTATAGATTGTTTTAAAGAAAAACTTGTGTAATTGTAAACCATAACTATTTTTATCCAGAGAGGAACAAGATCAAAAATGTAATTAAAAGATAAGCTGAGTACTGGATGAAAAATGAGTAGTGACAAAATAAACTACATACATATATACACTACATTTAAAAATTATCACAACATCAGTAACAGCTGGATAAATTACTTTTTCACACAATCCCTTTTGCATATCTGTACAAAATTTATTTGTAGCATGTTTTGGGAGTGGTACATGAATCATTTAGTTTTATATTGAAAGTTTGTCTATTTGACCCAACACTGTCTTCTATAATGTTATAATGCAATTAAATATATATCTTTGAGGTTATTTTATATTTTACATTAATTTCTAATGTTTAACATAAAAGAATAAAAGCTATGCAAAGAATAAATATTTTATCAATTCCTCTATTATTTTTTTTGCCCAAAACAACAGATCAGTTAAGTTCAATAGAAGATTGGTTATATTTGAACTCATTCAAACTTTTACAACTGAGTTTTAGATAGCAGGTATTAGGAAATATATTGACATACATAATAAAATATGAGACTAGAGTATCCTTTGTTTTACCTTTAACTAAAGAAACCAAACAAAATCTATGCATAAAAGATTTTACTGCATAAGGACCGAGTGGTGACTTTCTATGCAGAAATAATTATGTTACATGTACATTATTTTGTAATATTATTTATACAAAAATCAAAATTATTATTTTTACTCTGAAAAACTCAGCCTTTTCTTTACAACAGCCCTGAATTATTAAAAGATAAAATGTTAATAAGACAGTACTGAAATAATAACTACAATACTATCCCTACTATTATGTTCATAATATAGGTAATTGTTTAGTTCGGGATCATACTGAGCCCATACAATTCCAAACCAATCGAAACAGCCTTAAAGTTTCATCCATAGGTTAAAATGGGGGCATGAAATGATAACTAAAATTTTTAGACATTAATAAACTGTGACTTTCAATGCAAAACTAAATTATAATGAAGGCTAGGTATGTATTACTATGTACAATTAAGTAATATGTCAGTGCAAATACAGCTTATATAAAATTATTCAACAAAACTTATCAGTAGCAAAATACTAAAGATTATCAAATTATAATGGATTAGAAATATATTGTGCTTTAAAAATCATTTTCATTTATCACATTAACTTTGTTTTGTTTGTAGATATTAATATATACAAAATATTTGAACTTTTCACTTTGTGCACAATGCTTAGTGATATGCAACAATGCATTTCTTCATGCTTGTTTGAAGCTTGTATTTTTTTATATCTGTTGGTTACTGTCTTCACAGAAAGTGTTATAAAACAATTTCATTTACAATTAGATTTTAGACTATGTTTATATCGTGGAAAATTTTATTATTTCTACAAAAAGTTTTTCCTTCATATAACGAAATACCATATTCTTAGCATTTTGAATTGGTACGTGTATCATTTTTTTTATTAAACATTACTGTATCAACTTTACTTGATGAATATTTCTCTGTTCTTCAGGTGTAGCACATCAGAAAGTTTTGGGCCGGTTTACTCTAAGTTTAAACAATATTAATTACCTTTTCAGATGAGAAAATCAAGTACAGGACTTGAAATATAGTTATGAGGATTATTTGCAGGGGTTATGCAGAGTCTTGAAAAACAATTTGTCAAAGTTCTTTAGATACTTATTTTTTTTCTGAGTATTTTCCCATGTGCAATTTTGGATTTCTCCTACAACATAATTTTTCTTTGCTCATTGTCCTCAGACAACTGAGTATTTTGTGAAATTAAAGAACCTGTTAAGATGAGAAAATCGAGTCCATACTTAAAGTATAGTTACAAGAATTAATTGCAGGTTTGTACATGGCCTTGAAAAACAATTTTTTTTCAAGGTCCTAAACACCTTGTAATTTTTAGTTTTCCTGAGTATTTTCTTATTTCCTAGAATTTTGTTTGTCTTCTGTTTCTCATTTTAATTGTTGTATTTTTGTAGATCATTGTTTAAAAAATTACTTTGACTTTATGTTTGACACATCATGGCATTGTTTTTGTGATTGATCAGTATTATTGTATTTAAAAGGCCTTGAATGTTTTATTCACTCAGTTATTTGAACTGGTACATATATTTATCTTCACTACTTTAAAAAATTTTTCTTACTTTCACAGGTATCAGAAGAATAAATCTTGCATTAATCAGAACCAAAGAAACCCACTAGTTCTGAAGAATAGTAAGTGTGCTTTTATGACCAAGGAATCTGAATTTGATCATTCAACTGATGATAAGAAGATAAAGAGAAATTCTTCAAAACATAAAAAAAATGAATCATTTACTATTTGTGATAAAGCAGATATAAATGATAAGAATGTACATTTAGATATTAATTTGCCTGAAGTTGCAGCAGCAGAGTTGTCAAGCCCTAATCTAAGTACTCAAGGTGCAGAAAATAAAGACACTGTGTACCTGACTAATGATAATATAAGCAGCTCTAATTCCAAGAAACGACGCAGAACATCTACTTTTGAAAAAAATACAATATTAATTAACTCTTCTGAAGAATCAAAAGATAAAGTGTTTCAACATGAATTGGCTTCATCATCAAAGAAGAGACAAAGACTTTCAACTTATGAAAAGCAAAACCAAGAATTGAATGCTGAAAACTCTAATAAATACCAAATAAATGAGTTTTCCTGTAAAAGTTCTTTAACTTCAGTGAAAAGACGAAGATCTTCCACATATGATAAACAAACTAGTGATAAAAGAGGAAAGAAAGAAAACATTAACCACAAGGGTTCTGCTCAGTTAGAAACTAAAAAAAAAGCAGGAATAAAGGCACAAAGGTGTAATTCAAAAACACAACATGTAAGAATGACACCTCCTAAACCTGGTGGTGGTAATGGAGCATTAGTTGGAATTTCTAGTATCAAAAGAAATTCAAAGCCAAAAAATCAGGGAATGCATATCCCTTCAGCAAACTGTACTAAGATTGGTTCTGATTTGATCAAAGCAGAGACGGCTGTACATCTAGGTTCTAGCATGCATATCCCATTGGATCCAATTCCTAAAAACCTACCTGTCAAGTAAGTACCTTTGATCATTGTTAAAACTGTTTATACCTAATCTGTTACCATTCTTAAAAATCAAGTATATATACTGTATAGTTGTGCTTCTGATTATGTCATTTCAGATTATTCACAATGAGCAATTTTATACTGTATACTTAATATAAATACTGAATGGCATATTTTTTAACACTGCCTATTAGATTAGTAATTTCCAACAAGTAGACTGTGAAATACAAAGTTATGGGCTGCTGTGGGCTCGGACAACTGTGACTCTCCTAAACTAACAAGTCATCACCTGCATATGTAGGCCTTTACTGTTGTGCCAATTAAGTAAGTGTGTCTTGAGGTGTAAAACAATAGAGAAATACTGTTGCAGATCACAAAGAAAATGGGGCTTTGAATATTATTCAATACCTGGCTGGGTGCATCCTTCCCCCAAAAAAAATTGCATCACTGAATTAAAAAGTTATAGAAAATAACTTGTAATCATTCTTTCAGACATTAAACAACTTAAAAGTTATCTTGTTATCTTAACTAAAAAAGTTGTATTTAATTTTATGTATAACTTCAGCTATTACTTGACTGCTAGGGTCTCTTCCTTTGCCTATCGAAGCACTGGTCTGATTTTCACTCACCTGCTCCAGTTTTTTATTCCCCAATTAATTGACCTTGGCAATATGTGTCTGGTGACACTACACTTATATAATGTGCCCTCTATCTCTGTGTTACCTAGTTGATTTTCATGAAAAAATATAAAATACCAATTGACAAGCCAATTTACAGTATGAATTCCCTGATTATTATTTTCAGCATGGAGGCAAATAAGGTCTCTCATATCCCACTTCTGATATCTAATGTTGCACAACAATCGGGAGGGGTGGGGGTTACTCTTGGATGAGACTGTCAGTGATCTTATTCGTAGTGAGATGAATTGCCTGCTGGAGGACATTGTGTGGATGGGTATGTGGACCTCCCCCAATACTTTTATCTCACATTATATGCATGATCTGGTAATATCTTCATCTGAGGGGGTTTTTGCCTACCCACTGTAGTTATCTTAACCGCTTCGACTAGTTTATACAGGGGGTGAGTATTTTCATTGCTACCTTTCAGGATCCCACTCAGTAGTAAGTGTTGCCCAGGCAGGTGTGCTTTTATCAAACCAGTTCTGCACTAGCAACCACTAATTCAATATATTTTATCTAAGTTGCAACAGGCTCCATAGAAATAAGGTGTCCCATAAGACCACCTATGGATTATCATAAGTGAAGCATAAGGGGATCATGACTGTCCCTGCCATCATTGGATTGAATAAATCAGGGTCATATGATTTTAAAAACTTAGGAAACATGGTTCACCTATTGCACTGTTCCTCAGAACTCCTCAATGCACATTCCCCCAGATTCTACTAGTAGAGCTAGGGAGTTTTTATCACACCCAGTTTTCAATTGCTGGGATGGTGGATTGAGGCTCTTCCTCCAGAGTGTTAGAGTGAATTCCTCCACTCTTGGAGAAGAGGGCAAAGTTGGGGGGCCCTACTACCTGGGTTCCTGGATGTTTTTTCCTGGATATCAGTAGGAGAGGCACCAGCTTAAGCAGGAGCCTACTTATAATAATGTTTCAGGTTTGACACTTGGCTATCCAGTTGGGTTAAATGTGTCTCTTTTTTTTATTATCAATATTGGTTCAGTACGTGGAAGAGGGTCCATGGTCTACTCACAATTTTGAATACAGAGTGGCCTCATCCTGGGTCCTTGGCTGAGCACAGTTTGTTCCACGCCCTCCCCACAATTCCATGGGAAAGTTGAATTTACCTTGCCTACGTGGTTGGGGAGTGAGGATGAGTGTTCATAATTCCAGATTGGATGAGTTCTGTTTCCTCAGGTTGAGTATGGAATACAGGATCCCATCATTCCGAGTTTGGGGTGTTGCCTTTCAGACTTCTTCAAGTTGAGGAGAGAGTTTGTCCACTTTGGTGTTGCTTACCTTCTCATTGTGATTTCGGTGGCTTGGAGCACATCACTCTATATCTACATGTTGGAATCCACTTACAAATATATATATATTGCGGTTCAAATGCACTTGCCCCCATTGTGGAATTAAGGAATCATGGCTCTATAATCCCAACCTTGAGCAGTGGAACTTCATCTATCTGGCTGGTGTCTGGCCTATAGTGATGACGCGTCATATCACATTCCACTTGAATTGCATGATTTAGGTCCAGGTGAAGGGCATACCTTTCTGGATGCAGTGGGGTTCCTCCAATAGGGGTGCTAATCTCCTATTGGCACACCCATGATCTACGCAGATGCATTCTATATGGATTATGCCCTCACTGGACCCTCTACCTTATCAATGTTGGATTCTATCAGTAGTGTGAGTGGAGATATGTATGTTTTGGAAATTATTATTTCCTTAAATCAAAAATACTTACCTCCATTCACACTCTCTCACCTTTCCTCCCCCCTAAGAGCTGATGTTAGATGCTGTAGATTGGGTCACTCTCAAAAAAGTGATAATATTATCAGGAGAAGGTGTTTATATTCAGTACCGAGATAGAGGGCACATTGATGTAGGTGGAAAGTGTCACGAGACAGATATTGCTAAGGGCAATTAAGTGGGGAATAAAAGACTGGAGCAGGCTAGTGAAAATCAGACCAGTGTTTAGATAGGCAAAGAAAGGGACCCTAGCAGTCAAGTAATAGCTGTAGTGTGAGAGGAGGTAAGTATTATTGGAAATACATTTTTGATTTAAGACAATGTTAACTTTTTATATTGCAGTATGAAACAAGTTTGAAACAGTATGAAACAAGATAAGATAGAGAACTGTTAGGCTTAGTTAGATCATATTTTACTTGACCAATGTATGTTAGATCATTTTTACAATAGGTCTTATCAATCTAAGTAACTACTTCAATATGCAAAGAAAATCACCAAAAAATATATGTTAAAGAATATATATAAATTAATATAAAGCTGGCTTGAAACTTATTGAATATACTGAACAAAACCATCTGATTACTTAAAAATTTTTAAAAAATGTTGGCTTGTTTATAACTTTGATACAGTAAAATTATTTTTACTTTATGCCAGTGGCTTTTTAATTGAAACACGGATAAAATTTAGTTTTATAGAATAAAAGCTTTCTTGGAAAGTTTTACAAGAAATAATGAAGATATAAAATTCATTAATCAAGATGTACAACAAAGCAACCATTTTTAATTGTTTCGACAAAACAAAATATATTTCATATAAATATCAGATATCTGATTTTGCAGAAGCTTACTTGAATGCCTAAATTTTGTTGAAAAAGTAGATAACTGTGATCTCTTCTTATATCTATTTTATTTATATTTGATATTTATAAAACAGAATTTAATGGCACATCAATATCATCAGTGAATATGTTTGTAGTATAGATATAAGCTTTATAATTCATCTTTAATAATTTTAAGTTCTGATATGATATCTTACCTCTCTCACATAATTGCTTTTTTCTTGTTCATTGCTGCCCTCTATATGTGCATATGTTTTTGCTTGCCACTAGCCTTGAAACTTCTCATGTTTCAATGTGGCTTGGCTGCATTGTAGCATGTGACAACCCTCCACCAGTAGGAGCTCAACACTCCTGTTGCAACTGCCTCCCTCTATATTGTAGAACTCAATCGTCACTTCTCAATTTAGCACAGTAGTGTTTAGATGTGTTAAAATTTTTGCTTGTGCTTCCACTTTAATTTTAATTTAATTTGTTTCATGCTGTTTATTAAAGAACTTAGGTATTTTTTAGTTTATTTTAAACAGTTATACACTAACTGTAGTTTCTTAATTTCGAACTTCACTCTAGTTGAACATGACTTCTGAATTTCATATCACTACAACTACTTCTGTAGTGACAAATCATACAGACTTTAACCTGCTGTGTTTCAGGCTGCAGGCTCTACACTTTTGGCTGGGGAAATCTTGGTTTTTCAATGGGAGTTAGAGTCCATTTTGCAGCCAGTTCTATCTTCCAAGTTCAGACTTGACATTCCTTTCTCAGGTGGTTAAGGAGCTTGACTCGTAATCTGGGGGTCGCGGGTTTTAATCCCCGTCCCACCAAACATTTTTTCAATGGGAGTTAGAGTCCATTTTGCAGCCAGTTCTATCTTCCAAGTTCAGACTTGACATTCCTTTCTCAGGTGGTTAAGGAGCTTGACTCGTAATCTGGGGGTCGCGGGTTTTAATCCCCGTCCCACCAAACATTTAATTAGGGACGGCTAGTGCAGATAGCCCTCATGCAGCTTTGCGCAAAATTCAAAAACAAACAAACCTTCCGGAAATAGAAACATTTGAATTTTAGCAAAATTTGGTCAAAAATTGCTTGTGGTGGCCATTTTGGATTTGTGCAAATGCCATATGCCATTGTAATTATTTTCATAATTTTATTGAAATTGAGCCAAGATTTTCCCTTCCCCTAATTCAAGTATAATGAATCCAAATATGGAATCACCTTTTACTTACAAATATTGACAATGATGCCATCTTCTTGGTCGATCAAGAAAACTCATGAAATGTTTAATGTTTCAAAATATATGGCTTGGCAGGCCAGGAAATTAGCTGCGGAGAAAGGAATTATGGAGTTACCAGGAAACGGGAAAACAGTGTCGAAAGAAACTGAAAAAATTATTACAGCATTCTACTGTGACGATGAGTATAGTCAACAGATGCTGGGCAAAAAGGACTTTGTAAGCCTTCGGAAGAATGTCCATATGAAAAAGCAGCTTCTCTTAAGTGGACTTAGAAAACTTTACATGGCATTTAAAGAAAAAAATCCCATATTAAACATAGGATTTTCAAAATTTTGTAGCCTCAGGCTGAAATGTTGTGTACTTGTTGGCTCTTCTGGGACCCATTTAGTTTGCATCTGTACCATGCATCAGAACATCATTTTGATGTTGAATGCAGTCAAATTAGATAAGTCCTACTATGAACTCATCAATATGATTGTTTGTAACCGAGATAAGAAAGAATGTATG